CCTTGAGGAGTGTTTTGTGAGTGAAGAGAGTTTTGAGCTCGATTTTGAGCCTGATGTGCAGAGTTAGAGTTTATGGGAGAAGTTGTAGGTCGCATTGTAGGTATGTGAAGAAAAGTGTGATGCTTCCTATTACAATGGCCACATTTACGAGATGAGGTACAAGTATTCAATGAATGCTTGCTTCCGAAACAATTTCTATATAATCTTTTTGAATCTATAAATTTCAGTTTGTCATCATGAACAAGGGATATGAATTTCTGGCAAGAATAAATACGGTGGCCACGAGTGTTACAGCATAGACATAAAAAATCAGTCAATGAGGAACGTCGTGGCTCCTGCTCTCTATTTTGTTGCTGAGCTAACAGGGACACTCTTTCTTGCTTTCTATTATGAGTATTATGTGATGTGTCATGATTGGAGGATAGATTTTCAAGAATAAGACACCGTTTGTCCAGAAATTCAAAAAATCCATTAAGATCTGGCAATTTTGTTAAGTCACGATCTTCTTCAAATAATTTCCTATTATAAAAATCTAGCTTTTTCTGAAATATATTAATGAGAAATAGTTCAAACATTTGAGAATCCGAAATTTTTAAATTATTTAGAGCGTCCAAACTTTTTCTAGAATTCGTTACAAACTCCCGCAGATTTTTACTATTACATTTTGAAATTGAGGGTGTATCCATTATAGAATTTACATAAGCATTCACAATACAATTCAAGTTTCCATATCTATTTTTCAAAATATCAATTGCTGTTGCAAAATTATCATTTGTAACTGGCAATGAGTCAATAACGTTCAAAGGCTCTCCTTTCAGGAACGATTTTAAGTAAAAAAATCTTTGAACGTTTGTGAGTAGGGCATTATTAATTATAAGTGATTGAAAGAGTTCGTAAAAAGAGTGCCATTCAGTTGAGTTACCAGTAAAAGGTGCAATTGTAATATCTGGCAACTTAACACCAACATTTTTTTGTGAAGGAGCAAAAGAGTGAGCTGGTTGGTTGCCTTGAATAGTTAGATTACTTAAACAATCATTAACTAGAGAAAAAGTGTCGTAAAATTTATTTTCTGTGCTCGCCCTATCCTCTACATCTTCCTCACCAGAATTTTCAATTATGCCTTGTGCAGAGTTATATTTATCAAAAGCATTTTGCAAAGAGACTAAACGAGTTTGAAATTGACCAATATCTTGAACCGTGCTTTTATTTGTCAGAACCCAATTGAAAATTCTTGTTTGAGAGGATTTGGCAGATTTACGAGTAGATTTTAGTTGATCTAAATCCATTTTACCTTCGGCCAATTAAAAAAAATACAAATCGAAAAATCAAGACCCTTACACTAAAGAAAATAGTATAGGTAGAGAAAATAAGCGAATACCTTAAACCTAGAAAGAAAAGTAAATAATTTTTTATAACTCAACTTTACAGAGTAGAAAAATTCAAACAATGGGCAAAATAATCAAATCAAAATAAATCTAAATTTGCAAATAAATCAAGGTATCTTTTTTTTTGTTTTTAAATGCAATAAATAATTCAGTAAATAAACAATCAAGCTTAAAAAACCAAGTGTGAGAGAGTGAGAGTCAATATTTACAATATTTTGTATAACATTCAAAAATAGGAACAATGAAAAAATCACTGTGTTTTAGTTATAGAGCATTAGAGTTCACTGAACACCGAGCTGAACACTTCAGTCTTGAAATAAATAAAGTACAAGTTCTGTTACCTTTTGTGAAGGTCGACGAGGGAGTAGAAGATCTCGAAGAACGACTTACCAATTTATCTGCTTTCCGGCAAGTATCCCAGAAACTTACTTGTGGATCGAGTTGTTGATGGTTGTTGATCATTAACAACAAACAAGGGATGAAGGGACGTAACACTTCCATCAGCACACCCCCAATCCGGCTCGAAGGACTAAAATGTTAGGGCCTCTAACTGAGGTGTCAACATTTAATTTAGGGCTAGATCACTGGATCATAAAGGGGATGGGGACGTCACTGCTAAATAATGCACTCACACTTCCAATTTATATCTCTCTATTGTTGCCAAAATAATCGTTTAATAAAGTAATAAATACTGTAACCACGTTCAAGTACTTTTAATTATTCACAGGTTAGTTAACAAGTCGCATTTGAGTTATTCGAGAACATTCACTAATCGGTATAAATTCACTAGTTGCTAAGTGCTCAATAGTCAATTTAACAATAATTGTCAGTATTAGCGGAACGCTAATATTTTAATTGAGAGCACAAGATAAAGTTTATTCTTAATAGAAATCTTCGGGAGTTGAGAGTTTATATATTTTTAGAGAGCCCTTAAAAAAGGGAAGTGTGATTAACTCAATGTTTAACGCGATATTATATCACTTGAGTTTTCAAGCCAGCAGCCAGAGAGATAAAAAAATAAGTCTTTTTATTTAGAGAGCGAGAGAGAGAGAGAGACTGCACAAGGGTGCAACTAGAGAGAATAATTAAATAATTAGAGAAAAGTGAGCAGGTTCAAACTTGTATAGAGCTAGACGTTTTTACGCACTATTTACTGCTAGTGAAACCACACTACTAAAATCACAAATTATACTGCGAAGTGAAAAAGAGAAGGAATGCATTTTTTCCCCTAGCGACAAACAACCCGACTGGATCGATACGGTACAGCCTGGTACGGCGCCATTTCGCAAGTTTTTCACGGCGGGGGGTTTTTTTGCAACGTTGCCACTGTGATCATAAAAAATAAATATGATTGTTTGGCTGTTTCCACAACACCAAAAGTATCTGGGACACAAATAATGCATAATAATCTCCTGGACTAATTCTACTGTCATTTATTCCAATGCATTTAATTCATAGTTTGACAAATATTTGACAATAAAATTCATATAATAGGACAAGAGCTAATGTGATGCTGTCCCAGTTACTTTTGGTGACAATGGTACCTACTTCCTATTATTTGAAATACACATAAATATTTCAATTGACAAATTGAAAAGTACTTCAAGTTTCAAGTAGGTACTTCAATTTAGTAAGTACTTGATTTTTTCAAGTAAAATAATTCAAATAGTCTGTAAGTATTTCAAGTACTTAATTAAATATTTGAAATATTTATGTGTATTTCAAATAATAGGAAGTAGGTACCATTGTCACCAAAAGTAACTGGGACAGCATTACATTAGCTCTTGTCCTATTATATGAATTTTATTGTCAAATATTTGTCAATATTCAAATTGAAAGTATTGAGTATTTGTACTTGCAACATAAATTTCCCGTAATTGATACTTGGTATTTGAAATACTATTTACCAGTATTTGTGACAGCTCTGTTTGAAGCATTGAGCTTTAGGGCGTCGTTTTTAAGATAATCGGCTTTGAAGGTTTTCCAAAATTTGAGACAAATTTTCAACTTTGAGGCTCAACATCTTGAAAACGATTTGAGATAAATGATGCAATTTTATTTTATCTTTAAAGAGCATTTAATTTAAACAAACAAATTTCCAAAAAAAAAACCCTTTATTGTCCACTCAATGGATTCCTGATTACTGGAAAAGGACAAAGACATTTTTTTTTTCGGGAACAAATTGCTCCTTTTCTCTACTTGGGCACAAAGGTATTTCGTGTGAAGAGAGACCTATCAATTTTCGTCTGAAGAGGGCAAAATCTAATTTATCTATCTATACCTCCTAACCTTTTTACTTTACGTATCTACCTTGTTTTATACTTTACTTATATAACAATATTTTTATTTAAAACAATAAGATAAAAACACAAAGGATGATATTTTAACTCACTTTAAAATCTTCAAATGAAGTTTCTGATGAAAAAGAAACTTCTAGGTTTCATGTTAAAAAGGTGGGTGCGTGTTGAAACACCGTAAAGATTTCGCGATTATTACTTTTTTTTATTAGTCGAAGGGGTTGTTGCAAATATTAAGCCTGACATCGTTTTGTTAAGAAATTGCATGTTTATGGGCGTTGCCTATATACCGAGAGATGAAGTTTTATCTTTATTAGTCCATTTATAAACAAATGGACTTTTTATAGGAAAAATTACTAACTTTATTTTTTCCTCATAAAACCGATAATCTGAAAAACTTGAGGCACCATTAGCGTTTGATATTTTATGAGAATTAGCGGAAAAAACTTCCAAATAAGTTTTTCGTAATATGTAAGACGCATATATGAAAAGGTTGGAAGTTTCGCCTATAAAGTCCCAGATGTCGAAACCGTTTCGATAAACTGATAAAAACCGTAAAAAAGTTATTGGGTTGTATATAATATAGAGTCCATTAAAGTTGGAGAGGCATATAATATAGACCAAAAACTTAAAGGAAAATCCGAAATCGATCCATTTTTTGTTTTGCCGCACTATTTCCAGCTCTTCTTCTTGATTTTTTCAACGTTCAGTCACTCTCCTACAAAAATCTCCTGATGTTTGTTTATTGTCCAAATGTTTTTACATTTTCTGCCTCTTCAAGATTTTAGTTCAAAAGGCTTCCATGATAATCAAAATTCAATTAAGTACCCTTGATTGCTCTTAGGAAAAGTTTCCAAAATCCTGTAATAATCAAAATTTGATCTATTACCGGTTCTTGGACACGTTTTCCAATAAATCATTTTGACTAGAAAACAAAATCACAATCGGAGAAAATTTATGGGTTAACAATGTAGGTAGCTCAAAATCGTAATTCTATCCGCTAAAATACTTAAACCTTTCAGTACTGGAACAATTTCCCGAAATAATAATTAACGCCTGAATCATATTGATGCCAGTCTAAATTGGAGGCTTAAACGTTTACTAGTTGAAATTACAGTAAATTATTGAATTCAATATTTACAACAATATCAGAAGGTCACCAATAAAATATATAGAGCAAAAATACCGCAAAGTATTAAGGGTGTAGTGACACGCTACCTACTAAAAGGTTTTGCTTTTAATTAACCTGATTTGATGTTTTATTACTATGTTTAAGATAATTAGTATGCTCTTGGCCTAATTGCATTTTTTGTTGCAGTGAATGGAATGGAGCTGGAAACCCTTTACCACAGATACTGTATTAGGCTGAAACACGCACTATTTCTATCTGGATTGACTGTATCCACTCTAATATCCGTAGGGATACTGATAACAACATGCGTTTTACACGTGCAGGTAATTTTTTATTTTATTTATAAGCGTTTGGTTATGACGTTTTTACATAACCATTTTTTTAGTATTTGAGTTATGTTATGAGACTCATAACATAACTAGTGGTGTTATGGACGAGGTTATGAATCTATAACGCAACTATTTTTGGTGATTTGACAAATGTCAAACGTAAACCTGTAAAGGTAAAATGAAGGTAGACAACTACCTAACAAACAAAAATAATTGAAAAATAGTACATTATATACCTAGGTAGAGAAGTTGGTCATTATATACCGAGCGCTTTTATAAACCGAGGCGCGAAGCGCCGAGGTTTATAATGCGTAAGGTATACAGTGTGTCCACTTAAGTTCGCAGCATATGGGAAACTTTTTTATTATCAATTTTACGAAAAAAAGTTATTCTTTATAAAAGTTTCTGCCTCTTGAAAAAATAATATTAAACTAATAAAACTTGACATAGCATGTACAGGGTGTTCAAAAAATAGAAAAATATACAGGGTGTTTCCTAAGTACAGTTCGTAACTTCAGGATGGGATTCCTTACAATATTTTAAGGAAAAAAGTTCCCATAAACAATGTATCCGGAAATGCGTAGTTTCTGAGATACAGGGTGTCAAAGTTTTAGAAAAAATCGTTTTTTTTAGCTCGAAAATCCATTTTCCATTTTTTTTTCTTCAAATTTGACAGGTCTGTTTGTGATAACGAAAGGTATCTTTTGACAGTAATATGACTTGCTAAATCTGAAAAAAATATCAAAGGTTTTAAAAAATAGTGACGTGCCATTTTTTTTCTACTTTTACCGTTTTTTACCCAAAAATTCTGTATATTTTTCTATTTTTTGACCACCCTGTACATGCTATTCCAAGTTTTAATAGTTTAATACTATTTTTTCAAGAAGCAGAAACTTTTATAACGAATAACTTTTTTCGTAAAATTCATAATAAAAAAGTTTCCATATGCTGCGAACTTAAGTGGACACACTGTATAATGACTTTCTCTACCGAGGGATATATAGAACTTTTTTCACTACTGCTAGTAGAAAATAAAAAATAGGTTTGAAACACTGATCTCAAAAATAAATGGATAAACAAAGAACGCTTCTGTGCTGCTAATTTACGAGGTCATAATGTCAACAAAAACAACTGACTGGGACAGCTGTGAGCGTGCGCAGTAGATACATGTACTGTGCGTGCACAAAATCTGGCCAATGAAGATGAAGGAATTTCAAAATTTAGAACAGTTATTCGAAAAATAAGACACTGCGCAGGCGTTAGGCTGTTCCGTTACACAACTGTTCGTAGAATATTGACCCCAAATTTTCGCACAAGTTTAGCCAATCGAGCCGTACGATTGTTTATCCATTTATTTTTTAGATCAGTGGTTTGAAACCTGTGCTAAGTGCTCAAATTATTTTCTCTTGTCGGAAGTGCTACCCTCTATCAACAGCTTACGGTAATTTCCTATAATGTGCATAAAGGAACCTGCTTTTTTCAAAATTGACAGTTTGACACTGAAATTAAACTAATAGAAACCTGTTACGTTATGACAATATCCTTGCGTCATGACGTCATTGTCATTATTGACCTAGGTATTTTTTCATTATTAACCTTGGCCTAGGGAGAGAAATTCAATCAAAATCAATGTTATAATGGCTGTCTTTCTCCGTCTTTTTACGTCTTATATTTTTCCTCTCTCTCGTGTAACGAAATTTGCCAAAACGTGACGCGTCTTTCAAAAATCATTCTCCATTTTTGTCCGAATATCAAACCGCTGCCTAAGAAGTTTTACTTCAAAAATACATTTGAAGCTAATTTATATGAAAATAAGAATCATGTGTAGCATCGTTAAGGAGTGAAACTTCTTAAAAACGATTTCCTCCCTCATACAACCTTCAGACTTCCGAGTATGAGTCAAGGTAAAGCACTAAAGATATCAGCGCTTGACAATAATAGGCAATCCTCTTTGCTCATAATCCTGGGTTTGTATCAATCGTTCGTCGGCTGTCATTGTCATTGGCGGTCATTGGCTATCTTTCTCTGTCTCTCTACATTATATCTTTCTTCTCTCTTGCCTATCATTCGTTTAACGTTAATTTGTCAAAACGTGACGCGTCTTTCAAATCAGTTTCCATTCTCGTCCAAATATCAGACCGCCGCCAAAGGGCCGGTTTCTCAATAGCAAGTCACCTCTGGGTTACCTAAGCATAACTCCAGGGTAAACATTGCAACTGGACACGTTACACTGGAAACCGACCCTAAGAAGTTTCACTTCAAAAAAAAAAAATAATATAAAGTCTGTTTTTTTTTAAAGATAAAAGTCAAAATGACATTATGTTGGCAATACAATGTAAAATTGTTACTGCTTTCGAATTTTTATGTAGAAAAGGCTTGTGTTGCCAACATAGTTATTAAATTTTTGACTTGGGGAATTATCTTTAAAAAAAAAAACTTTATCTATATCTGCGTAGGTGAAGTCGTCGACTCTTAAATTCGTATGTAGACTTATTTGACTTATGATTTCTTTTATTCTTTCACACTTTTCACCAAAATTCATTAGTACGGCCGAACCACTCCATAGTATGTCAGGATTGCCAGGTATGCCAACTCAAGATCCTGCAATCCCTGCATTGCGCCTTGTTGTGCTCAAGGTTATTTGAGAGAAGGAGGTTGCCTGATAACTTTATGACGTCATCTGGGGTGCCGATACATGCTCAACGCGTGTGTGACTATTTTATTTCAGTGTGCGCGTTGCTTGTTTTTGGTTATTTGTTTCATTCACGAAAAAATGCGTCCACACTAGAACGATGTTGCACCGCAAATCCCTTTGATCTTGAAAAAAAAACCGACAAGCCGCGGATCGCGTGCGGTGAATGTCGCGAAAATTTTTGCGTGCGTCTGTATGCGGCGAACAGGTCCACACTCGCATAAATTTCTATCGCACACACAAATTTGTGCCGAATACCACGCACAACGCAAAATTTTACTAATGTGGACGCGGCTTTAGACGCACTTGTAATGTAAATAACTACTATTAAATTAAATTTGCAGTTTTTACAATAACAAAAGGGCAGATTTGAATTAAAGCGGCTTTGATTTTTTCCCAAATTCTACCATATAGCCTGGATGGGATTTATTGAAAATTCGAGATACCGGAATTTGGTCCTGAACCGGTTTATATGAATGGATAGGTTTTCTGAATGCAGCCAATGATACTCTTAAATTTATCTAATCGAAATTTGCTTTGGGTTTAATTAAATTTTGTTATTCTTAGTATATTATGAGAAAAACTATCCAACGATTGTCTAAAGTTTGTAACTGCTTAGGACTTAAAGATAAAATGAATGATAATTCTTGGAGAGGTTGAAAACTACGGCCAGAGTAATTTCCTAATCCCACTTTCTAAGTTACTTTATCAAAACTTTTTGCTTCTTTTTTTGATTTGATACATTATTTATTGTCAAGCATCTACCAATAATTAAACTTTTCCTAATTATCTGATCTTTACAAACATCTAGCAAAAAAATCTACGTTTATACCGATTTCCAAGGTATGATTAATATCTCGATTCCAGACATTCGAGAAAAGCTGAAATCCATCAAAAGTATTTTTCGATTAAGTTTTAAAACTTGTCGCTACCAGAAGATGACAGAGGGCACTTGAGGATCCTATTTACAACACAAGGATTATCATGACATGAAGTATGGCCCAATTGAATTAATAATTTTACCTACGTGTGTGCGGTTAGGTGCACTTTATTGAACTTATTCCCAAATGCCAAGTAGCATTCCATTATTTGCTGGATTATCTGCTTTAGGACCGCTAAGTGGGGGTGCTGCTGGTATAGCAAAACCAGTGAATACCAATGAAAAGTTGCAATAAGAATAAAAACTACATAATCAAAAAATGTAGAAATCAGTAAACTGAAAACAAGCTAAACGAATTTGCTTTATAAATTATTAAAGCGAAGAGTTTGATCAAAGAATGTTTGATGAACCAGAAACGTTTCCGCGAAATCTCGTATCTCGAGAGAAACAATTTTGGATACCTACATATTGACAAATCAGATTTACTCCGAAATGTTACTTTGATCTTTGATTTACCTACTATGCGGAAAATGTTTGATTTGAGATTTTTCAAATAAACGTCCATCAAAAAGTTGTATGTTTACTTAATTTGTGTTGATTTTTCTATACTGACAACAGCTTTTTAAGATTTTTCAGTCTCGTTTGTATAAAAAATAAAGAAGGATTTGTCCCTTTGAAAATTGATTCTCATACTTTTCTCAAGTTTTTATTTTATTTCTGATTATAATGCTCAAAAAGAGAACTTTATGTTTGTTTTCCTTTCTTGTTTTCCTATTATTAATGCAAGAAAATGAATAAGGCATTTAAAACGTATCGGTGGAAAATAAATAAAGGAGGGATATTTTAATTTAGCATTTGGCCTTCTTTTTTGCCAGCAACTTGATCAAATCTTCATGAGTCAGTCACCGTCAGTGTATCAAGAATCATTTAGTCAATAAGAATTGGGTATTTTTGTAGTCGCATAACTTACTGTGCTACCCTACTATCGACTTGTATATTAGACGATAGTAGGGTAGGACAGTGAGTTCTGCCACTAAATGAAGCTTTATTGTAGTGATGGTTTCTTTGTGATTATTGTCTCGAATAAATCTAGCCAGAGTCTGTCATTGATTTTATGTTTCGTTTTTTTGCTCTAGACACTTTTTATAGATGAACGAATTCACTTCTGCAACCATAAACATAAAAATCCCTGATAAAAAGCCCCTGATTCTTATTCACGTCCAGGATCGGAAAAGGCTCATACGAATCCGTGTGGATTTAAGTGAAACTGAGTATTATTTCTAGGTCAATTTCCACAGAGGGGCATGTTTTGTTAAAAAAAAAAAAACATGAAAGATCGCATAGGGAAATTCGGCAATGTTTCGGCATTAGGTATTCCAGGCTTTTATGGTTAATCAATTAATTAAAATCCCCGGAGAGTGAAATTCTGCAAATTACCAATAAAACTGGAAAAATAGCAATTCAATTACAAACTTTCATCTGAAAAATATTGCGTATATTTGATATTTTGATTGAATTTAAAAGACTTCTTCACTCGGATCATAATTCTAGAATTGGAACAGAATTTATTGCATTTTCATGTCCTTTTATAGAAAAATCGTATTATATTATCAGTGCTAAACCTCCCGAGAGTTAATATTTAAAAGTTGTGAAGAGTTCAAGAAGTAGGTAGTTTACGAGGGCAAATATGAAGTTATAAAGTAGAGCAAAGTGTAATGTTATACACTAACCTAACCATATATAGTCTTAATCCCAAAAGATTAAAACAAAACTTACACCATAACTGTATATAACTGTACCACTGAAAATATAGCTTCATTATTATGCCCTAAGGATGTCAGATTTTAATTAAATTAAAACTAACTATTCCTCTTCAAAACATCTCATATTCTAAATATAATAATGGCCTTTGGTTACAGTAATAAATCTGAATTTCACATTACTATAATTTTGCCAAATTTCTATTATTGCAACCAATAATAATATGACGTTTGTTCTTCTTGGGCAAATGCCAATACTCAAAAATATAGTTTTTAATACTAACGACCCTGTTTCCGTATCTAATTTGGTAATTTGAAAAATTTTCTTTGAGTCATCTGACATCGAATAAATGTGTTCCCTATATTAAACTAAAAGCCTCTATTTGCTCTATCAAATTTATCTCCGGCTCAATTATGCAGGAGATTGGTTTTAGTTAAACTAGTAAGCGCATCATGTCCGACCTAATAAATATTGCCAGTGAAGTGAGATTCAGGCAAGGATTTTAGAGAAAATTGAGTTTTGGAATTTTATATATCTACTGCGCAGTACTTTTTTTGACCATACAAAACATTGTTTTTCAATTTACATAAAAAAACAACTTTGAAACTTTAAACAGCCACTTGCAAGGGAGGTATTATGATGTAATACGTTCAAAGTTTTTCCCTTTGAAGTTTACACAGAAGAGGAGCGAACATTATCTTTTTCGGAGAGAAATACGAGGGTCCTTAACTAAAGAGAGTGTTTTTGTTTCGTCTCTTTTTGGCCCAATTCAAATTTTAATTATAAATTGAGCTCAGTTTAATAGTATACCTACGTCAAGCTATAGACATCTCTATTATAGCTTACAGCAATATATAGATCATCAATAACAATTGAGAGGAGAGAAGACACATAAATAACGTTGAAAGGTCTTTAAAGTACAAGAAGAGTCTTAAATTTCTAAAAAAAAGCGCACTTAATCGAATGAAAAAGTAATAACTCCTAAATGAAATGTGTGAGCTCAAAATGAAAACACAACCGCCTGGGGAAATTCTACGTTGATTTTAATTCTAATCAGCATTTTCTCGCTATAACTGAACAGAAAAATGCCTTTTTATTTTGAATTTTGGTTCGCAATTTGTGCATGGAAATTGAGATATTAAAGCCCTTCATAGCTGTAGAAAACTACTTCAGCAGTTAGATAAGTAATAATAATTAATCCTAACAATACACCACCATTATTCGCAGTACGTACGTTGTAAACGTCACAATTTCGTGATTAACCGTTCTAGAGGATCCTGAATTAATCTACCCTACAGGTTCTTGTTTAAGGCCGCAGCTATTAAATAGTTTTAGTCGGGATCCTACTCTAAACCAGAATTTATGTGCTCGAAAAATGGCTCTGCGGGACAAATTCATTTATACAGCACAACGTTTTTTAAATTAATTTAGTGTAAAATCCACATTTGTTGGTTCAAACTTATTATTTTTTGCAGGGTCATCACAAAAGCATCCTTCCGGTCACTGTGATGTCAGTAGTGACTTTTGCACTGATAGCCATACTTATGGCGTCGCAATTTCCTGTGATTCTCGAATCTGAAGCTTGGGCTCTGATGTCGTCACTAGTGATCATTGCTTCAGCCGCAACAGCCATGCTACTCTTAGGTAAGTGATATTTTAGTATTTTTTTACATATTCAGCAAGGCTTTAGCTACAACATATTGAAATTTTATAGAGAAAGGGTCAAGGATAAGGAAATTGTGATTTTTGAAACGTATCTGTACAGTAACTGATGTTTCTGTTATTCCACCTTTGTTCGCATTTGTGATTTTTTTCCTCATAAGTTGGCACTCCTGGGAGTGCCACGTATTTTTTTATATCTTCAGTAACCTTTTAGCTCTAACGTACTATAATTTTATAGAGAAAGAGCCAATAATTAGGAAATCGTGATTTTTGAAACGTATGAGCCTACCAATTGATATTTCTGTTATTCGACCATTGTTCGCATTTGTGATTTTTTCCCTTATATCCTCATAAGTTGGTACCCCTGGGAGTGCCACCTATTTTTTAACATATTCAGCTCTAACATGCTGAAATTTTTTAGAGAAAGAGTCGAGAATCAGGAAATTGTGATTTTTGAAACGTATGAATACACTAACTGATATTTCTGTTATTTGACCCTTGTTCGCATTTGTGATTTTTTTCCTTATATGTTGGTACTCCTGGGAGTGCCACGTATTTTTTAACATATTCAGCAAGCTTTTAGCTCTAACATACTGAAATTTTATAGAGAAAGAGCCAATAATTAGGAAATTGTGATTTTTGAAACGTATGAATACATTAAGTGATATTTCTGTTATTTGACCTTTGTTCGCATTTGTGATTTTTTTCCTCATAAGTTGGTACTCCAGGGAGTGCCACGTATTTTTTTACATATTCAGCAAGCTTTTATCCCTAACATACTGAAATTTCATAGAGAAAGATCCAAGGATAAGGAAAAAAGTTCCAATCTTGTACTCTCTGTTCAAGGCTTACACAAATTAGGATTTCTCATAAAATGAAAAATCACTATCTTTCAAGATAAGACACTTCAAAATAAAGACAAACGGTCGTTTGAATAAAGTGCAGCAAATGCTTTCACTCTACCTCCGTCTCTTTTTGTTGCATTAAGGCTGAATATGTTTATCTCAAAAAACTTAAGCAAAAGCATATGCTCGTGTTTTATGCATGACCCAAAGTTTCGAGATGTTCTAAAAACATAGTTTGTAAGATAATCAGATATTTACTCTAATTCTTAGCAATTTTGAACCTTTTATGGTTATTTTTCTAATCCTAATTTTCAAAATAATAAGATTATTAAAATAAGACATTTTCGTAACATCAACTTACAGCAATTTCGAATGTATCAATGAGTGAAGCGACGTTGTCAGATTTCTTGAAACTTTCCTAACATCTAGGGCAAAACTCTAAATGATCTTGATCTCAATAGGTATAATGACATAAAATAAGATTCCAATATCAATTTTGGTCAAAACTTTCTGAAATATTTTAGAAACCAAGATAATTTGGAATTTTTAATTGACATTTCTTTCTCTTTACAGCTGGTCGTCATGCGCCGTTGCCACTTTTCGCTCTGCTACTGGCCATCCATACAATGTTGCCGCTGTCAAGGTCAGTGGCCTTGGCAGTCGCCACCATAGTCACTGTGGCGCATTTGGCAACGTCGATCGCTCATAGGATACACGAAGAGGGCGGCGCTGATTTGATTCAGGTAAGAATTCTCACTTGATGTTAGGTTTAGGTTTGTTCCAACCCGTCAAAAAACCTTCCCAGAACCACTCAGTATACGAATTTCGGTTTCTACGCAATGATTTTAGGTTTTGTGCAGAATCCTGACGGTAATATTACGGCTTCCTGGTGAGTTGGAATAAAACTAATGATTCTTAAAACTGATATAATATATCCAGAAAAGATAGTGATGTCCAGTTGATAATAAATGAATGTCCCAACAAATCCTTGTAACAATTCAAGCAAAAATCCATTTCACCATCGTCGCAGTTCCTGGCAATCAAACCGAGATCATTACAAACTTTTCTAATTCCAATGTAAATTCCAACTTCCGCGAAATTGTAACAGACGTCTCGATATTTAATTATTCAGATAGCCTTTGGAGGAATTTTAAACGAGGAGAAGTTTGTTCCCTGATTCTACGATACTTGATTGTCGGTTTACTTAATTGTTCGAACACATTTTTTGCAGCTAGTTCCGGAAACCGTGATTCTACTTACCGGTAGCTGTACTGGGCTGTACTACAGACACTTGACTGAGGAGGCTCACCGAAGAACTTTCGTAGGTACCAGAACTTGCATAGAATCCAGAGTGAAACTGGAATGCGAAAAGGGCCAGCAAGAGCAACTTTTATTGAGCGTCATACCTGCATATATTGCAGCTGAAGTAAATTATCGAAGCATTATTATTGTTTTTGTATTTAATTCTTTTAATCGTAGGTCAAGCGAAGCATAATGCTTAAAATGGCTGATGCATGTTCCGAACACAAAACTCAAACTTTCCACGAAATGTACGTCCAAAGGCACAATAACGTGTCCATTTTGTATGCGGACATCGTTAATTTTACTCCGCTAAGCGAACAGCTCAGCGCTAGCGATTTGGTGAAAACTTTGAACGAACTTTTCGGAAGGTTCGATCAGATTGCGCAGGTAAGTGATTATCTATAAAAAAATATCCTTTTAGCCACATCCATTACGTTGCCCTTATATAAAATGGTTTTACTGGTACTTCAAGTTTTATCATTCAATTAGTCTAGAGGGAGAATGATTTGAACGTTTTTACGATTATTTAGTTTGCAAAGGAGGACGTTAACCGGTGGATGTCAATTTTATTTGCCCTCTTATCCAGTTTTGTTCTCCAAGTGCTTTATATGAGCTTTTTATTGTCGGTTTATGTTTTAAGTAGGTACATTTATTTCAGACGAGACAAGATTTATACGACTTTTCGCTGCACTTTAGTTTATTTCAGATAAGACTTTAGAATTTGGGAAATTTCTTCGTTTTATGAGCGTTATCCAAATACAGTAACCTTTAAAACTTTGCAAAAACTGCAGTTATTCATTGAAAAATATTCTTATTGAACAAAACTGGCAACATTTGGATTTTCAGTGCTGCCAACATCACTTATATTTAACAATGGCAACACTGCTCAGAAATAGATTGACTTCAAATTATCAAATTTACCTTGTTTGATGGAAACATCTTCTAGTTAATAAATTTTAAATCGATCTGATACTCCAAAGTATTTTTCAGGATTTTTCAAAAGTGATATAGCGTGAAATTTCCCATTTTTTTTTTTCGTATTGGGTTAGAAAAAACCTCATGATTTTATATCTAAGCTTCAGATTGACTTTAAATTTGCCTTGTTTGATGAAAACATCCTGGTTCATAAATCCTAAAAGTTTGAAGTCGATTTGATACTCCGACGTATTTTTCAGGATTTTTGAAAGGTGATTTCACGTGAAATTTCCTACTTTTTTGGTATTGGGTTGGAAAAAAACTTCATAATTTTATATCTGAGCTTCAGATTGGCTTCAAATGAGCCTTGTTTGATGGAAATATCCTGGTTAATGAACCGTGAAAGTTTGAAATTGATCTGATACTCTGAAATATTTTTCAGGATTTTTCAAAGGTGATTTAACGTGAAATTTCCTACTTTTTTTGGTATTGGGTTGGAAAAAACTTCATAATTTTATATCTGAGCTTCAGATTGGCTTCAAATTTGCCTTGTTTGATGAAAACATCCTGATTAGTAAATCCTGAAAGTTTGGAATCGATCTGATACTCCGAAGTATTTTCTAGGATTTTTGAAAGGTGATATAACGTGAAGTTTCCAACGTTTTTTGGTATTGGGTTAGAAGAAACCTTATAATTTTATTTATAAGCTTCAGATTGGCTTCAAATGAACCTTGTTTGATGGAAATATCCTATTTAATGCATCCTGAAAGTTTGAAATCGATCTGATACTTCAAAGTATTTTTCAGGATTTTTCAAAGGTGATTTAACGTGAAATTTCCTACTTTTTTTGGTATTGGGTTGGAAAAAACTTCATAATTTTATATCTGAGCTTCAGATTGGTTTCAAATTTGCCTTGTTTAATGAAAACATCCTGGTCTATGAATCCTGAAAATTTAGAATCGATCTGATACTCTGAAGTATTTTTCAGGATTTTTCAAAAGTGATATAACGTGAAATTTCCCATTTTTTTTTGGTATTGGGTTGGAAAAAACTTCATGATTTTATATCTGAACTTCAGATTGGCTTCAAATTTGCCTTGTTTGATGAAAACATCCTGGTTTATAAATCCTGAAAGTTTGGAATCGATCGGATACTCCGAAGTATTTTTCAGGATTTTTCAAAGGTGATATAACGTGAAATTTCCCATTTTTTTTGGTATTGTGTTGGAAAAAACCTCATGATTTTATATCTGAACTTCAGATTGGCTTCAAATTTGCCTTGCTTGATGAAAACATCCTGGTTCATAAATCCTGAAAGCTTGAAATCGATCTGATACTCCGAAGTATTTTTCAGGATTTTTCAAAGGTGATTTAACGTGAAATTTCCTACTTTTTTTGGTATTGGGTTGGAAAAAACTTCATAATTTTATATCTGAGCTTCGGATTGGTTTCAAATTTGCCTTGTTTAATGAAAACATCCTGGTCTATGAATCCTGAAAATTTAGAATCGATCTGATACTCTGAAGTATTTTTCAGGATTTTTCAAAGGTGATATAACGTGAAATTTCCCATTTTTTTTCGGTATTGAGTTTGAAAAAACCTCATAATTTTATATCTGAGCTTCAGATTGGCCTCAAATTTGCCTTGTTTGATGAAAACATCCTGGTTTATAAATCCTGAAAGTTTGGAATCGATCGGATACTCCGAAGTATTTTTCAGGATTTTTCAAAGGTGATATAACGTGAAATTTCCCATTTTTTTTGGTATTGTGTTGGAAAAAACCTCATGATTTTATATCTGAACTTCAGATTGGCTTCAAATTTGCCTTGTTTGATGAAAACATCCTGGTTTATAAATCCTGAAAGTTTGGAATCGATCGGATACTCCGAAGTATTTTTCAGGATTTTTCAAAGGTGATATAACGTTAATATTTCCCATTTTTTTTTTTTATTGAGTTTGAAAAAACCTCATGATTTTATATCTGAGCTTCAGATTGGCCTCAAATTTGCCTTGTTCGATGAAAACATCCTGGTTTATTAATCCTGAAAGTTTGGAATCGATCTGATATTCCGAAGAATTTTTCAGGATTTTTCAAAGGTGATATAACGTGAAATTTCCCATTTTTTTTGGTATTGGGTTGGAAAAAACTTCATGATTTTATATCTGAACTTCAGATTGGCTTCAAATTTGCCTTGTTTGATGAAAACATCCTGGTTTATAAATCCTGAAAGTTTGGAATCGATCGGATACTCCGAAGTATTTTTCAGGATTTTTCAAAGGTGATATAACGTTAATATTTCCCATTTTTTTTTGGTATTGAGTTTGAAAAAACCTCATGATTTTATATCTGAGCTTCAGATTGGCCTCAAATTTGCCTTGTTCGATGAAAACATCCTGGTTTATTAATCCTGAAAGTTTGGAATCGATCTGATATTCCGAAGAATTTTTCAGGATTTTTCAAAGGTGATATAACGTTAATATTTCCTATTTTTTTTTTGGTATTGAGTTTGAAAAAACCTCATGATTTTATATCTGAGCTTCAGATTGGCCTCAAATTTGCCTTGTTCGATGAAAACATCCTGGTTCATAAATCCTGAAAGCTTGAAATCGATCTGATATTCCGAAGAATTTTTCAGGATTTTTCAAAGGTGATATAACGTTAATATTTCCTATTTTTTTTTTGGTATTGAGTTTGAAAAAACCTCATGATTTTATATCTGAGCTTCAGATTGGCCTCAAATTTGCCTTGTTCGATGAAAACATCCTGGTTCATAAATCCTGAAAGTTTGGAATCGATCGGATACTCCGAAGTATTTTTCAGGATTTTTCAAATGTGATATAACGTTAATATTTCCCATTTTTTTTTGGTATTGAGTTTGAAAAAACCTCATGATTTTATATCTGAGCTTCAGATTGGCCTCAAATTTGCCTTGTTTGATGAAAACATCCTGGTTTATAAATCCTGAAAGTTTGGAATCCATCGGATACTCCGAAGTATTTTTCAGGATTTTTCAAAGGTGATATAACGTTAATATTTCCCTTTTTTTTTTTGGTATTGGGTTGGAAAAAATCTCATGATTTTATTTCTGAGCTTCAGATTGGCTTCAAATTTGCATCGTTTGATGAAAACGTCCTGGTTAATGAATCCTGAAAGTTTGAAATCGACCTGACACTTCGAAGTATTTTTCAGGATTTTTCAAATGTGATTTTACGTGAATTTTCCAACTTTTTTTGGTATTGGGTTGGAAAAAAACTCATAATTTTAGTTCTAAGCTTCAGATTGACTTCAAATTTGCCTTGTTTAATGAAAGCATCCTGGTTAATAAATCTTGAAAGTTTGAAATCGATCTGATGACATATGACGAACATGAAACTTGACAAAATTTAAATGTTCAGGGTTGCCAATAGGTATTCGTAGTTGACAGTCTCATTGCTTCCTATGTTCAACAATGACAACAATGAAAAAATTAATATTTTCATTGTTGCCATAATATTTGTTGATTGTGTATGTTTATCATTGTAACTTACATTCCGTCTGATTAACAATGCATTGCTAAGAGTTTCTATAAAAAAATCACAAACTGCCCAGTTAGCTAAGTAACTGGTTGTTAAGTTTTAACATAGAGTGGGTTACTTGCTATCTAGCAAGGTTTTTAATCAAGCATTTCTAAAAGAGTGTCATAAATACCATATACGCAAGTTAACTAGCTATTAGATATTCAACCAACCATTAGGTAACAAGTTAGTTATTGTTTATGAATACGCCAGTTAACCTGAGATAAACAAAATGACAACCAAATTAAAATTTTCAGTGCTGCCAACATTTCTGTTAAAAATGATGGTAAAATTTGATTGTTACTAACATTCTCTCTAATCCTGATTAACAATGGCAACCTTGCTAACAAGTTACTTAACCTAAAGTGAAGAAAATGGCAACCAAATTTAAATTTTCAGTGCTTTCAACATCGAAATAAAGTCGCAATAGCTCACTGGGAGAATTCGAAAAATGTTTAATGTTGGCAATAAACTGCTGAAAATTTATGATTTTTATTATTGCCAACATAAAACTTTCAGTGATTTTTGGTTTCAGACGTCAAACTGTAAAAAAATTCTCGTATTGACCAAAATTCACAGCGTTGCCAACATTCCTATGAAGTTGACAGTCTCGTTATTACTAAAGGCCGGTTTCTCAATAGCAAGTCACTCCCGGGTTAAGCATAACTGCAAGGTAAACATTGCAATTATAGAGTTAAAACCAAGCCGGAGGTGACTTGTTATTGAGAAACCGACCCTAAGATTTCCTATGTTCAAAAATGGAAACAATGCAATTGATTGAATTTTCAGTGCTGCTATAACCAAAAATGATTCACCAAGTGAAAAAAATCTCGTTGTTCATGGAAATATATTGCTGTTTTCTATCTAATGGACACATTTTCTCGGAACTAAATTAATATTCACTGAAATGGAGATTTAATTCGGACAATGGCAAAATCGTCCATGTAGAAAGCGGACAGTGAACAATGTGCGTGGAAAATTTGTTTATTCGGTAAATGTTATCGGGGAGAGAACAACGGCAATTTGCCGGAAGAATTATCCTGAGTGTATAATTAAAATTTAATGTGAGAGGTTCACTTTTTTGAAATTATTTTGATGAACATTATTAATGTACGAAAAATAATAAAACTAGCAGAGCAAGCATAGTATTGCCAAAGGTTTTTGGAGTTGAAAAATGACTTGATTTTAAATGAAAAAATTCGTGTCCTTAATCGGTGTGATTAATAAAATGTATAAATCCCTAATATTTTTTAATAATTATTAGTTGAAAAATACTCATATATTATAGGAAAGCAATTTTTCTTTTGATGAATAACGCTAAAGTCAGCATATTCTTGAGGGCTATGTAAAACGTGTCAGGAAATTCCAGAAACTCTATATTTTTAGGTCATCTCAACTCAAATATCTCCTCGTATTACCGTTTTTATTACGTGTTCCTTACGGATTATTCTTGTGGAAGTGAAAAATATGATTTATGTATAACAATGCATGTGGTTTTACTTAACGTCAGTGGTAAAATAAAATAAGTACAAGCAGTCAAGCCTCGGTCATTTTAGAGTGTTTCCATCAGCGAAATTCATTAAGCTCGCCTAAATGGAAAACGTCCTGGTAAATTGCCGGTGACCGGAACGTAATTTCGAATGTTTTTTTTTTTTTGGTTTCAGGACAACCAATGTATGAGGATCAAAATATTGGGCGACTGTTATTACTGCGTTTCCGGATTGCCCATATCCAGACCTAATCATGCGTACAATTGCGTTAACATGGGACTTCAAATGATCGAAGCCATCAGGTAGTTATATTGAATTAATTTACCTAATAAATGTATCGAAAAATTAAGATAATTTGTTTGTTCAAGTTTTATTGAATCATGGACAATGATATCTGATTCATCATTCAATGAGGGAGTTTTAATAATAATGCATTTGAATTTGATTGTGGTTTAAAATGAAAATTCTTTGATGCATTTTTGGAAAATCCTAAATTAAGTGACTGACATTATTATTTCCTTAGGCCCTTTATGTTCCCATTTCCACCGACATGGTTATTATACTTAACATTATAGCCCAGGTTATTGAAGTTTTCGCCTTTGTGGCACAAGAACATTTTCGTTTTCTTGTTAGTTTTGAGCACACAAAATCCGCAAACAAAATATTAGTTTTCCACAGACTGTTTGGAGTTTATTTTTGTAAGTATTTTCGCATCCAAAAGAATTACATTGTGTATTTGTTCGAGAGGAAAAATGAACAGTGTTTAGTCCAAATAAAGAACGGAAAAATAAAAGAGTCGTTTGAAGTATGTGGGTTGTTTTAGGATAAAATGTTTGTGCAGATAAAACGATTTATTGTCGATAATTCAAAAATTGTCCTTCGTATTTTGAAAGACAAACCTAATGTGTATAATATTTTCAGGTTTGTTCGTGAAGCAACTGGATTCAACGTCGACATGCGCATTGGAATTCATACTGGCAACGTACTGTGCGGAGTACTGGGTCTCAGAAAGTGGCAGTTCGATGTTTGGAGCGACGACGTCACTCTGGCCAATCATATGGAAAGTGGAGGCATAGCAGGGTAAAGTATGACGAAAATAGATTTGCGGAAATGGTAAAAATTGAGGCCGAACTGTTGTAGCTTATCTACTCATCTTGATCTATCTGCAATTGGGCATCAGTGGCGGATACAGTGGGGCTAAATTTTTAAAATCCATGGTCAAAAACAAAAATTGAATATCAAAAATGTGAAATATTATTGCATGCTTTCAGCTTTTTTCAAATGGGATGCGCTTTATTTATTTGGTTCTATGTTCTTGAAGAACACAATTTCCTGATTCAAAAACTATATAGTTTGTCTATATTTGGTTTAGCCGTCTCATAGTTCTAAAAATTTTAAAAATACTATCAGAGAAACCAAGTAGGTACCTCAAATTTTACCTGCAGCTTTCACTTGTACAGGTAGAATGGTGCACAAAATCAGTAGTAGGATAGTATTTTTACAATTTTTGGAGCCAAATATATGAGAGATTGCTCAATCAAATATATAGATCAATGCATTGTGCTCTTTAAGAATATAGAATGAAATAATGGGTATCCCATTTGAAAAAAGCTGGAAGCATGCAAAATTTTATATTTCTGACATTCAAATTTTGTTTCTGACCATGGTTTCTAAAAATTCAGGTAAAACTGTACAACTTTTGTATTTACACCTTTTTTCTACCTGTGCAGGTAAAGGCTGTAGGTGGGGTGTCAATATATAAAAAAACACCATGTACAAATAGGTGGATTATTGCGGAACTTATTGGTGGACCTCTGCGGGACGAGCGCAGCGAGTTCCGCAGCCATCTACTCACCAATATACTGTTGAACTGTTCAAATACGACACTAACCCTGAAACGTGTGGTTTTTGAACGAATGAGAAAAATTCTCAACTGAGTGAATCAGGTTAGTATTGCACTTGAACAACATAGTGGTAAATAGATAACTGGGTCCACCCATAAGTTCCGCAACAATCCACTCGTTTGTACTTGAATAACTTATCACAATATATTACTAGTTTGGTAAAGTAACATTACTTATTCTTGTTGAAAGGCAAATTGACAAAAAGTGGATAATCTTACAAATTCTGACTTTATATAATAAGTTATTGTTCAAGTACAAATAAGTGGATTGTTGCGGAACCTATGGAGCGAGTTCCGCAGCCATCTAATCACCAATATACTGTTGAACTGTTCAAGTAAGACATTCACCTGAAATGTGTAATTTTTAAACTAATGAGAATAATGCACATTTGAGTGAGTCAATTTAGTATCGTAATTAAACAACATATTGATGAATAGATGGCTGCGGAACTCGCTGCGCTCGTCCCGCAGAGGTCCACCCATAAATTCCGCAATAATTCACTCATTTGTACTTGAATAACTTGTCACATTATGCTACTAGTTTGGTAAAGTAACATTACTAATTCCTGTTGAAAGGCAAATTGACAAAAAATGAATAATCATAATCTTACAAATTTTGACTTTATATAAGAGGTTATTGTTCAAGTACAAATAAGTAGATTATTGCGGAACATATGGGTAGACCTCTGTGGGACAAGCGCAGCGAGTTCCGCAGCCATCTACTCACCAATATACTGTTGAACTATTCAAATAAGACACTCAGCTGAAACTTGTTGTTTTTGAACTAATGAGAATAACTGACATTTGACTGAGTCAGGTTAGTATCGTATTTGAACAATGTATTAAAGAATAGATGACTGCTACTACACGTTTCAGGTGAGTGTCTTATTTGAACAGTTCAACAGTATATTGGTGAGTAGATGGCTGCGGAACTCGCTGCGCTCGTCCCGCAGAGGTCCACCCATAAATTCCGCAACAATCCACTCGTTTGTACTCGAATAACTTGTCTCATTATGTTACTGCTTTGGTAAAGTAATATTACTTATTCCTGTTGAAAGGCAAATTGACAAAAAATGAATAATCATAATCTTACAAATTCTGACTTTATATAATAAGTTATTGTTCAAGTACAAATGAGTGGATTGTTGCGGAACTTATGGGTGGACCTCTGCGGGACGAGCGCAGCGAGTTCCGCAGCCATCTAATCACCAATATACTGTTGAACTGTTCAAGTAAGACATTCACCTGAAATGTGTAATTTTTAAACTAATGAGAATAATGCACATTTGAGTGAGTCAATTTAGTATCGTAATTAAACAACATATTGATGAATAGATGGCTGCGGAACTCGCTGCGCTCGTCCCGCAGAGGTCCACCCATAAATTCCGCAATAATTCACTCATTTGTACTTGAATAACTTGTCACATTATGCTACTAGTTTGGTAAAGTAACATTACTAATGGGCTCTTTCACTAAAATTTAAATACGTAATTTAAGTATAAAATCTCAAAGGAGGGACTATTTTAGGCATATATACCAAAAAAAAAATGTTCTACAAGGTTCAATAAGTTTTTCATAGGCAATCAAAAGTGCCTAAATTCAAACTATTTTAAAACGCGCCGATTTGCCGACGTCACATAAATATTCTTCATTTCGCTTATGTCGTTGCAAGGAGGAAGGGCTCGGCTGTGTTTGCGCTCTGTAAAGATACGTAAAGGTTCGAATGCGCTGTTGTCGGTTGTGACTAAATGTAGTGCAGCGTAAAATAAATAAATAAAACTAAACATAAAAAATTGCATTAAATTGTATTTAAGCATAATTTAAAAAAAAAATGTTATAAAATCTTGAATCTATAACTAATTAATTTAACTACTTTTCATGAGATTTTGCCAACATTTCAGAATTAAATCTATTACAAATTTTCAATGTTGACAATTAGTGGCAACACGGTCAAATTGCGAGCTGCGACGTCATAGAAATAAATTCTGGGTTTTTATTTGGAGGTATTTCTTTGTTTTCTGTTTTCTCAAGAAGGACTTTGAATTTTTCAAAAGTAAAAATACAGAAAATTCTGTTTTTAGTTGCTTTATCCAAATATGCCAATTTCAAAAATTAGTGAAAGAGCCCATTCCTGTTGAAAGGCAAATTGACAAAAAATGAATAATCATAATCTTACAAATTTTGACTTTATATAATAAGTTATTGTTCAAGTACAGGGTGTTTTTTTATACGTATACATATTGACATCCCACCTACAGCCTTTACCTTTACAGGTAGAAGAAAGGTGTAAATAAGTAGTTGTACAGTTTCGACTACATTTTTAGAATCCATGGTCAGAAACAAAAATTGAATTTCAGAAATGTGAAATGTTGCATGCTTTCAGTTTTTTTCAAATGGGATGCCCTATATTTGGTTCTATACTCTTGAAAAGCACAATTTCCTGATTCCAAAACTATATAGTTTGTCTATATTTGGTTGAGCCGTCTCTAACATATTTGGTTCTAAAAATTTTAAAAATACCATCGGAGAAACCATGTACATACCTTAAATTTTACCTGCAGCTTTCACCTGTATAGGTAGAATGGTTCACAAAATCAGTAGTAGGAAAGTATTTCTATAATTTTTGGAGCCGAATATATGAGAAACTGTTCAATCAAATATAGATCGGTGCATTGTGCTCTTCAAGAATATAGAATGAAATATAGGGCATGAAGTGAAAACCAAGGAAGTTTTTAATTCTGATGAGTGTCACAAAAAAATCTGTAAAGTATGTGGGAAGCTAACATCATCAGAAATAAAAGTTCCATAACTAAGTTCTAGGATTATGAAGTTTCTCTGTCACACGTGTCTAGGTTTGGATATACATATACTTTTGAAAAATACTATAGATGATAAACAATTAATAATAGATAGTAAAGATGAGATATCATTGAAAAATTAGATTAAAGAAACGAATTATCATGAAACCGAAGCAAGTTACAGCAAGATAGTGAAAACAAAACTGCTGTTTTAATAATCAAACCCAAAGATAAGAACCAAACAAGCAAAACAACGAAGCAACAATTGAAAAACGAAATTGAACCTAGCACTTTGGGGGCTGGAATATCTGGAGTTGCAATCAGCTATAATAATGAGGAAACAAAAGGGTCAGTTTGTGCAAATATTAAAGAAAAACTGGGACAAAACTATAATGTCATAGAACCTGAATTGAAAAATCCAAGAATCAAGATTTTTAACATAAACAAAGAAATATCAAAAGATGAAGAAGTATTGATAGAAAAGACTATAAGACAAAATAGAATAACAACGGAAGAGAATGTGCGAATAATTAGACAGATATATAAATACGAAACAAAGAAAGAAGGAAAAACACCTAAACGTTATTTTGGAATTGGATCATCAGACCTATAAGCAAATCAAATTAAGAGGAATTGTTAATATAGGATGGAAAAGTTACTATTTTGTAGACCATGTTAATATATTACAATGCTTCAGATGCTGGAAGTTTGGACATATGGAGAAAGAATGCAAAAGTGAAAAGGAAGTTTGCCGAAACTGTACAGGAGAACACAAAAGTAATGAATGTAATGCACTGGTGAAAGAATGTATTAATTGTAAAAATGCAGCCCAAATCGTAGAAGTAGAAACTAGTAACTACCAACATGCAGCATATGATAGAGAATGTGAGTTTTAGAAAAGAATTTTTACCCAATTACAGAAAAAACATCATTATCCAGATTTATATAGCAAAAATATTATATAGCAACGAACAGCACCGCAAATAATGTATCTAAATATACAAAGTCTTCTTGCACATAAAGTAGAGCTAAACTGGTTGATCAATCAATGAAAACCGGTGATTGCATGCTTATGAGAGAGTCATGTAACAAAAGATATAAAAGATAATGAAAAACTTATAGAAGGATATAGATACTTCAGTGCATATTCTAAAAGTAGGCATACAGGCGACAGTATAATCTATATAAAAGAAGAAATTCAAACAAAACAAATACTCAGCATTGTTATTGATTCAAATATGTGGGTAATAGGAATAGAGCCAGTAATAGATACTTTCAAATACAATGTTTTATGTGTATATCATTTGCCTAATGCTAATCACGCAACATTTCTAGAAAATATGGATGAAATTCTACAAAACATGCTGTCCAAGGAAGGG